CTGGTTTTGCCTTCTTTCTGTTTCTGGTGTTTATTTTCCTTCTCCTGAGCCTGCAGCCGATCTCTTTCACCTGTTCATTCTTTTTATACATTCAAACACTAATACAGACACAGTCGGGGCTTTAAGTCCATGGTTTAAAACAGATGTGAAAGAAAAATCATGATTATTGCATAAATGTCTTTTTGCCTTTACAGAACATTAACATAAAAGTTTGTATTTCTTTCTAACTTAAAGTCTTAGAAGACAGGAGCAGCCAGACAATTTTCACACGTTTGTATCTTGTTTAAACACCCTCAAAGTTCAAACCTTCCTAGAAAAATAGGTGCAGTATTATAGAATGAAAACAAAGATCAAACCCTGTTTTCAGGTCCAGAACATGGGAATAGAACAGCTGCGAGATAATTCAACATCAATGGTAGCTTACGGAAGTAGAGGAAGCAAGAAGAATGAATTGAGTAAAGTTTGATTTGTCTGACTGTTTTCTTTCACTTAGTGTGCCTTATAATGGTCCGAAAAATACGGTAACTTCTACCTTCTTTTAGTATGTCCAGAAGTCCAACTTTTTGTGCTATGGTTACCATCTTCCTCTGCCTTTTGGGTTGTTGTGTTTGCTGGGGAGAAAACTTACAAACATACAGTACAGCACTTCAGAGTCACACTGGTAACAATCAAAGATTTATGTAAATTTGACAAGCTGAACGTATTCTGTACTGTATCACAAAATCATGAGGATGTGTGCTAGTCTTCCAGCACCACACAGTATTGAGGAGCAAATATCAGTCAGTGTATACCCATGATAGAGCGCAGTCCTGTCTCGGCCACATTAAACCAGTCAAAATACCAAACGAGGCCAACAGTGGCTCAATAAAGCCATTCTCCACAAGGACTTTCCATGAAGTTCGTCTTGGATCGCCAAGCGAAGAAGAATCAAACCAGCCAAGAGCAGATGAAGTGGATGAAGGTGAAGCAGGGCAGCACGGAGGCGAAAAGAGCGAGGGCAGTGAGGCGAAAAGAGATGAGAACAAGGTTCTCAAAAAGTAGATGACTGATGAGGTTATGTTCTGGTTTTCTTTGTCAGGCAGGAAGGAGCCCAGCGGGCGATGGTAGGTCATCACAGTGAAGGCGATAGCTAAGGCCGAGCCGACGGCTTTTAGAACTGAGGGAGAACGAGAGGCAGAGTTAGAACAAGAAAAGAGAAATGTTGTGAAGTGTGACACTCCACATAAAGCCAAACCAGCAGACTTTTAATGTATCATAACTTTGGCATATTTACAGAAATTTTAGGTTCATGTTGTGAATATATTGACCATTGAAGTACAAAAAACATAAAGAGAAAATGATCTAAATAACCTAGCCTAATGGTTGTGTGATGTATCAGTGAATAAAAATATCAACTGTAAACATAATTAACTGGCACATAGGTGTGGAAACTGACTGAAATTGTCTGTGGAGATTAACAGTAATTTTAAAAAAGAGCTAAATTTGTGCTGGGCTAAGATATTTAGATCATTTTCTCCTTCTTTGTGTTGGTAAAATGATCAGGGGAGCTACTGGAATTTTGCTTGACCACGTTTTTAAGAGAAGCCATAGTTACCTGTTCTTTCATAATATAGTCTGTTTCAGTTTAAGCGTTGTTTTCAATAAATTGTATGCTCAAAAAAAGCTTTATCTCAATCCCATTGCTTCTTGTTGCATGTTGAAGCTCTACTTGGAATCTTGTTAAGATAAAACCATGTTAAATATATATTGGTTTGCCAAGTGATCTTAAACGTTTGATAGGGGCTGTACACTGGCATTCAATTCTCTGTATAGAGAACACCGGTTAGCTAATGGTGTCGTCCAGTAGCCTAGCACTAGCAAAAAAAACAGGAAGCCAAAAGATAAATTCATGTATGAAATCCAAATAAAATATGTATAATGCTTACCGTCTATTAAAAAAATGTAATATAAGATTAGAATAGTGTTTATTTGTCTGCTTATTTATAAGGAACTCCATTAGCTTCCACAACAGTGGTTGCTAGTCTTCCTGGGGACTAAACCATCAAATACAATCAATTAAAATATTACACAATAAAGTGGATGCAAAATATCCACAATTTGGCTCTTATATCCACAGTGAGAGTTTACAGTTTTTAAAATATAAGCATATAAATATCAATAAAACTGAGGCAAAACACACCAATAATGTTGTTTAGATATTCTACTTTCCATGTTCCAGATCCCCAGAATTGATATTTTCACCGAATGGTCTTTTCTGTCTGCCAGTGTGTCATGCAGATTTCAAGATTAATAAGCTCTGACACTCAACCTGACAAAGTGTGAATTTGCCAAGGCCACTGTAACATACTTGAGCAGGGAAGTGGGACGTGGTCAGGTGCGGCCCCTTAGCGCCAAAGTGGTGGCGATTAATGAATATCCCACACCTAAATAAAGGACTTGAACTGTGCAGATTCCTGGTAGGTTATTACAGGAACTTCTGCAAAAACTTCTCCTCCATAGTCCAGCCATTAACTGATCTACTTAGTCCAAAAGTGGATTTTATATGAAAGTGCAAAATTCCTCCTCTGCCACACTCCTGGCTGTAATCTAAAGCACAGCGTTAACATAACTTTATGGCAGTTCAGGTACTACCATAAACAAGGTATAGCGTCACATCAGCAGTGACAACATCAGTGACATCGCTTCACGTCCTTTATAAGATTTTTTTTCCTGATGTGTCATGATTTTTAGTATTCCCCAAAATCCGTAATTAGTAATAAGCTGTTGAAAAATAAAAAGATCACCTTAAAAAAAAACCTAATACACATATTCTCTGTGTTTTAATTTGATGCAGGATGAAAGCAAACATGTCACACTGATGTGTTACAGCATTTTTCTTTTTTTAAATGAGTGAAGTTATCAAACCAGAAGCCAAGAGGCTTGATGTTGTGTCCACTCCTACTGGATCCCTACTGTCTGTTTAACGAGCAGGCTGTGAAGTGTTAACAACTCAATGTTGCTCTTTTTTTTGGCACCTGTTAGATGTTTAGTAATGATGCTGGATTCGTGATTCCTTGCAAGCTTTGTTTACTATGTAACTGAGAGACATTAGATGCAAGCAGCTTGACTCCCGGGGGCGGGTCTAGCGTTAGACGTTTTCTCACTGGCTGCGTGCGCAGAGTATTACTTTGAACAGGAATAGGAAACAAGCATTAATGAACAATACTAATCAGATGTTCTACAGCACCTGAAACATTTGAACAAGCTAAACAAACACTGGATGACTGAATAAAATTAGCACTAAATCTGGTACTTGAACACAGTGAAATCTCTTCATTTCTAACATATTTATGGCTGTGATGAACACGCAGCGCTCTGAAAATGGGCTTAGGTTAAATTTAGAAGAGGGATGAATTAAAATAAAAAAAAAACAAAAACATATTTCAAATTAATGTATGAATTTAACTGAAAAATTCTGAGAGCCTGTGGGCGGGACCTATTTTCAATGGGCGGGACCTATTTTCAAACATCAAAGCAAAGAGAATCAGGCCATGACATCACAGTCACCAAAATTCTATAAATAGGGGTGAAACAGCACACTGGTCAAGCACGTTTCTTACTTACAGTCACGAGCGATTCACTAGACGAACTTTTGTTCTGCTACAGCCAACTTCAAACCCTGATTCACATCTGATTATCGAATTCACATCTGAATATCTTATTTAGTGTAACACGCTAAATTTGTTTCAAAGTTAAATATCAAAAATGAGCAATCAGGAAGGAAAACCAGAATTTGTCTTCACTCTGCCAAAGAGTGCACTCGACAACCTCATGCAGGTTAGGAAAGCCTTGCAAAACTCTCTGACTGAAAACAAACTTTTAAAAGAGGGTGAAAGTAGAGCCAGACAGCAAATCAAACAGATGATGACTCAAATTTCAAACATGCGCACCAAGCTGGAGCTGTATGAGAACCAAGCTGCAGGAGTCACTGATGAATCAGTGTCGCGCAAACCGCAGGTGAGCAGCGCCACCAAAGAAAAAGAGGAACAGACGTGTTCAGATCAGGAAAAGGTCAGCAACCTTGACCTTGAGATGAACCGTCTGAAAGAGCAGCTTCAGCAGAGGGACAACGAAATCCTGATGCTGAAACAGGAGAAGGACACTCTGTCTGCCAAGTTCACGCAGCTCCAGAAACATGAAAGAAATCTGAAAGAAACTATGGGGAATGCTCTGTGGAAAGAACAAACACTGAGAGAGAATCTGGAGCAGGAGAAAAAAGTCCTGGAGGAACAAAACAAGAAACTCCTGGAAGAACAGAAAGTGGTGAATGACACAAAAGAAGAAGTCAAAGAGGCCATCACAAAATGTCAGGATGCAGAGAAAGAACAGAAAGAACTGGAGGAGGACAAGAAAGCTCTGCAGCCACAGAGTGAGGACTCCAGCGAGATTAAAGAAAGTCAGGCAGAGACAAACATACCAGAAATGCAGACAAAACTGGACACGCAGAGAATAGAATTAGTAGAGTCTCAGACTGAAACACAGGAGACGGCAACCCCACAGTCGTCCTCATCTGATTGTCTGAGTGGGGAAAAGTTGTGTGTCAACAAAGTGATTGAGTTGGTGGTTTCACAGGCCATAGAACAAGTCTCCACTAAATACAAGCTCTTCACAGAGCGCCTCACTGCTGACTGCATCAGCGATCGCCTGATTGAAAAAATTTGGCCTGAAATTGAGCTGAAACATTTGGATCTATCCCCCAAATGTCTGAAAAACATAGACAAGGCCATTCTCAAGGATCTTTGCAAAAGACACAACTGCAAGGAAAAATATCTGATTTTCAATCTGAGGGAACAGCTTGATAGTATTACTGTCCCAACCTTCACCAAACACCTGTTGGCATTACCAACAAGAGTACTTAGTGTCTCTAAAAACAGGGAAGAGTACCAGGAGGCTGTGAAAAATGTCACCAAAGATCTGGTAATGCACGCTATGAAGGGAGAAAATGAGGCAGCTACATGGAATGCAGGAACATCAGAGTTTATTGTACAGAGGCTTTCCCACAAGATCTGGAACAAAATTTTGTCCAAAAGCTACAAAATGTCCATGGAAAACATTGAACAACTCGGCCTGAAAGTATCCAATGATCTCCGTGAAAAGTGGCCTTCTCCAATACTGTTAATGAGGTCAAGCAACCCAGTGGTTGACGAAGCGGTCGTCAGCATATTCAAAAAACATGCCAAGCTGAGGAGCCAAAATGTCATCTTGAGGGTTTTCTCATGTGCACGTTAAAATTGAACTGAAACGTGCACGTGATTATGTTACAAAACTCTTAAACTGGCGTCAAATATTCTTTTAATTCAGCAACCTAAATTACATTTTAAAACCCCAACTTCCTTCCCTCATCACTAACTGGCCGAGGCAGATGGCCACCCCCATCTCAGAGCCTGGTTCTGCCGGAGGTTTCTCTCTTTTAAAAGTGAGTTTTTCCTTCCCACTGTCGCCAATGTGCTTGCTCTAGGGGCTTAGTTTTTGTGCATTATTGTAGGGTCTTCACCTTACAATATAAAGCACCATGAGGGAAGTGTTGTTGGGGCTTGGCACTGTTTCTTATCTCAAAATGTCCAATTACAACAGGACATTTTACGTTAAGAAACAGCGTCAAACCACAAATTAAAATTAAAAAATAAAATGAAAATAAAACAACTGTGACTTTGTGCTTTGTTTCATTTGCTGTAAATTTGCTAAGAATGTAATATAAGATTAGAATAGTGTTTATCTGTCTGCTTATTTATAAGGAACTCCATTAGCTTCCACAACAGTGGTTGCTAGTCTTCCTGGGGCCTAAGCCATCAAATACAATCAATTAAAATATTACACAATAAAGTGGATGCAAAATATCCACAATTTGGCTCTTACATCCACAGTGAGAGTTTACAGTTTTTAAAATATAAGCATATAAATATCAATAACACTGAGGCAAAACACACCAATAATGTTGTTTAGATATTCTACTTTCCATGTTCCAGATCCCCAGAATTGATATTTTCACCGAATGGTCTTTTCTGTCTGCCAGTGTGTCATGCAGATTTCAAGATTAATAAGGGCTGACACTCAACCTGACAAAGTGTGAATTTGCCAAGGCCACTGTAACATACTTGAGCAGGGAAGTGGGACGTGGTCAGGTGCGGCCCCTTAGCGCCAAAGTGGTGGCGATTAATGAATATCCCACACCTAAATAAAGGACTTGAACTGTGCAGATTCCTGGTAGGTTATTACAGGAACTTCTGCAAAAACTTCTCCTCTATAGTCCAGCCATTAACTGATCTACTTAGTCCAAAAGTGGATTTTATATGAAAGTGCAAAATTCCTCCTCTGCCACACTCCTGGCTGTAATCTAAAGCACAGCGTTAACATAACTTTATGGCAGTTCAGGTACTACCATAAACAAGGTATAGCGTCACATCAGCAGTGACAACATCAGTGACATCGCTTCACGTCCTTTATAAGATTTTTTTTCCTGATGTGTCATGATTTTTAGTATTCCCCAAAATCCGTAATTAGTAATAAGCTGTTGAAAAATAAAAAGATCACCTTAAAAAAAACCTAATACACATATTCTCTGTGTTCTAATTTGATGCAGGATGAAAGCAAACATGTCACACTGATGTGTTACAGCATTTTTCTTTTTTTAAATGAGTGAAGTTATCAAACCAGAAGCCAAGAGGCTTGATGTTGTGTCCACTCCTACTGGATCCCTACTGTCTGTTTAACGAGCAGGCTGTGAAGTGTTAACAACTCAATGTTGCTCTGAATTTAAATCTTGAAAGACTGAAAAAGACTTTGGTGAAATTCGTGGCTCTTCAGGTGTTCTCTGGAAATACAATCAAGCTTCCACAGTGAATCTATAATGATAATAATTGGTGGCGCTACAGCTTGTTAGTAATGCAGCCGGGTAGTCAGGAGTCGGAGAGAGGACCGAGAACAGCGATCGCCTCAATTTCCACCAGCCCACCCTGAGGAGAAAAGGAGGAGACGCAGGTTGAAGAAATGACTGCAGAGGCGAAATATTAAATTATAATAGTGTCCAAAAATGAACACACGCACACAGTCATTCAAAAAACCCCTGCAAAAAGCTTTTATACACATCTCTGCAGTCCCATGAAAAACCAAGTGATCCCCATAATTCTGTAGCTTGTAGATCCAACTTTAGCAGCAATAACTTGAATTTGGCCAAAAGCAGCATTTACACTACATTTACTCATTTGTCCAAATATCAGCAGAGTCTCCGCTGTGTGACAGTGTAAGCAAATTAAGTCCGGAAAACATGATTAATAGTTTAATTTGTGGTTTAAAATAAAATGCAAATCCCTCCTTTTTCAACCTTTCTGTTTCCAATCAGCATAAAAATGAAATTCATGACATCATCCATATGTGCACAGTAGCAGTGACTTTAAAGTGGGTGTGACATAATGTAATACAGTGCTAAAGGTGTGTAAAGCTGTGGTTAACACTCACTCTGGGGAGAGCAGCGACTTGGTAGGCAGCTCTGGCAGGAAAATTACTGCTGAAAACTGGGGAGGGAAAACATTTTCATTAGATTTGCATGCATTTGCAGAACCACGGTGAAGTTATTCACTTCCATCAGTGAACCCAACTATGAATCTCAATTTGAATGGTTCATTTCAGCTTCTAATAATATGAAAGGCTTTATTTATGAGTGGTTAGATTATTTACATAGATAAGCAATAAAACAACAAGCACAGGTGCTTTGCAGCTGCTGGGTAGAAAGTTCCTTTGTCTGGTGTATAGCAGCGGCTGAGGATGGTAACACACACAGACAACCTGGAAAGGCACATTTTTGCCTTAACTTAAGTTTTAAACCAATTTTTATAAACCAGTAAAGGCTGAGTTTAAAGGATCAAAACAGAGTTTTAATGAAACATCTTCCTTCCTTCCTTTCACCACGGTCAGGGAAAGTAACCTGCCTGTGGTTTCGGTGGCAGTGCGAGGGAGAAAGATGGGAGTAAATGCCTAGTGCAGCACTGCCTGCTGGGAAAGGTTGGGTTACAGTTGTGTGCCTGCACTGTGGTGTCTATTTACAACTCTCTGGGTGCTGGAGCTTCCATTACACCTGACTGTTATGATCAGCGAGGAGGATGTGAGTAGAAGGCTGCTGTCGAGCAGCAGAGAAAAAGCTAAGTGAGCGCATCGGTCAGGTGACTCCTAAACTTGTCACACTGTCATTTTCCCTGCTAGTGTGGTCAAAATGAAAGGAACAATATAGTGCTGGCTTACATGTCTTGTAGACCTCATTGACGTTGTTGAAGTCATTTATATCTGCGAGTAACACAGTAGTCTTCACCACTGAAATGAAAGGGTTTATGTGCTCTGAAAGCTCGTGTTTAAATTTCAGAACATGTGAAACATACGAGGAGAAGCTCAGTTTCTCACCGTTGCTGTAGTGGCAGCCGGCAGCTTTAAGGATCTCCCCAATATTGATGAGTGCCTGAAGGACATGATGGGAAAGATTTGTTCGTATTTTAGGAATCTGTTGTGGATGCAACTTCTGCTGTAGCTGATCTAAACACTGGCAGAAGTGAGTTTCACCTGTTTGGCCTGAGCCTGCACTCCTCCATCTACCAGCTTCCCGGAGGCGACGTCCATCCCCAGCTGACCGGAGATGTACATGGTTCTGTCCACGATCACCGCCTGGCTGAGGACGACACACACACACGTTTCTTTCTCAGGATGATGTTTCAGCAGGAGAAAGTGAAACAAAAGGCCAACAGTTCCAAGAAAATATTTCCTCACACCATTGCACCACCAGGCTGAATCACCGATACAAGGCACTTCCACTTTCCACACTTTCATGTTGTTTTTGCCGAATTTTTTTTTCTTTCTTTATTCAAATCAGGCAACAAAGTATATATCTCATTTACATTGACATAGTTTTTTTTTCTTTTTTCCCCTTTTCCCTTCCCCTCCCCTCTTTTCCCCCTTCCCTTTTGCCGAATTTTGATCGAATGTTAAAGCATAAATCAAGACCAGGATACATTTTTCCAATCTTCTGTCCGGTTTGGTGAGCCTGTGTAAACTAGAGCCTCAGTTTCCTGTTGCTGGTTGACAGGAGTGACATCCACCAAATAAATGATAAACCACGTGAACTTCGATCGAGTTATGATGGATTTAGAACAAGTCCCAGCACTTTCTTCGGGACACCTTACCTGTATATTCCCTGCCTCACAGGAGCTTTTGGTGTGTAGATGATTTGGCGACGAATTGAAGCCATTATAAGCCAGCTGCTTGTCGACCTTACTCGGTTTCCTGCTATGCTGGGGCCCCTTTGCCCCACTGAGAAACTTTTAACTTTGGTTCTCTCTGTGAGTTCACTGAACTGTAAGACCAGGCCCTGATCAAACATCGGACTGTCCTTGTGCTCCCACGTCTCACCTGTATGGGCCGATGGCAGCCGGGGCCGACGCAGTGTTAACGATCCTTCTGTTGAGCGTAGACATGCTTCCCAGATTTCTTCAACTTGCTGCCAACCTTTCCGAAGAGCTGTGATTAATGCAACTGTGCAAGAAAAGCTGCAGAAAAAGAAGGAACACTGTTTCCGTAAAGTCTACCGTACCGCACTGAATAGAGGAGCAGCAGGCGCGCTTATAGCTATAAAAAGGCGTTAAATATAAAATGAAATGCGCCCTTGGCAGAAGAGTTACGGTGAAGGGCGTCAAAGCTGCCTTTATGAAGGCAAAGATCAGCGGTACTGCCCGAAGTTTTGATATCGATCCGAAACCAAGTAAATACAGGGTCGATAACGAGAGCCAGTGGGTCATGATTTATGCAATTAATCAGATTTAATTCACCACTAAATCACAGCGATTTTTATTTTCCACATTAGTTAACACAAAACATACTATTCAGCTTTTCATGGGAATTTTTTTCATATTTTTTGGCATCCAGGAATGTAAATGTACCTGTCTCTCTGTGCTAGAGGCTAAGAATAAAGCAGATGTGACAGTCAACACAAAAACTTTCATGCACTTTTCATAGTGTGTGTTTGTTGTATTTTTTTTTTCAATTCCAAAAAAAGTAACACAAGTCTACATAATGAAATCAGAGTATCTAATCATGTCATGTTGGTATTAATCCATCCACATCTAAAGATTAGACCAAAGCCAGCTCTGGTTAACTATAAGTGACTTTTATTACTTTTTCAACATTTTTGAAACTTTATTAAAGTATTACAAACAGAACATAATAAATTAAATGCTTACATTCCACTCTACACCCTTCAATCTTTACATAAACCGAATAAGTGAAGTAAATGAAGACAAAAATCATAATGATATAGCAAAAGGTGGCTTTAGGTAACTGTACATATTACAGCCAGTTCTAAAGAAACAAAACAAAATCATAAAAAACCCCAAAACAAACTATTGGACTTTTCAGTGTTCAATAGTTTTTAATTAAAGCAAAATTAAAGGAAGCCCACATTTTCTTCTTAAACATTACTCTTTCCTTATACAACAGCATTCTACTACAGAGCAAAATTAAGTATAAACATGCATAGTCCAACCACATTTACATGACCAAGGGCCAAAATATTAACAGCCAAATCAGCCACAATATTTAAACCAGTGTCACGAAAAGAAAAGAAAGCAGAGCGGTTAATAAATAAAGTGAATGCTTGTGTGAACTGCAGGCTTAATTCATGAAGGGTTTCCATCTGCTTCACCTACAAAACACATTCATATGTAACAGCAACCAGCAGATTCACTGCACGTTTTTAACATTAAGACAGGATGAATTCATTCATTCACAGGGTCATTATTAGCGCTTAAAAAGTAACACATACTTTAGCAGAAGAGCTGAATTAGAGCCAGAAGCCAGATACATAGACAAAAACAAAAAATGTAGTAACCATTCAACAAGCTTAATGATTTTTGGGAGTAAAAACCTACAAATTCTTTCCTTCTTTTCATTTTTTGATTAAATTCCTTTGAATTTGGTTATTAAAGTGGTCCAACAAGCATATGCAGCGTGTGGGAAATTTTACAGCTGACTTCATTTATGATAAGAAAGGAAAACATTCCTCACTTATTAAAAATACAGGGGAAAAAGCCTTCATGTTCACATAAAAGAAGCCAAAGCTTGTGTCCCAAAACCCACAAAGCACATTTTTTGTCTTTTTCTCCCCTTCAAATATCAGGAAACAGAAAGCACTCTCACTGATAGCTGAAAAAAGCTGCAGGGTAAAAAAAAAGAAAAAAAAGAAAAAGAAAACTTGAACCAATGGAGGAAAAATTATCATCTAAAAATAAAAAGAACAAGTAGAAATCACGTGTGTGGCTGATGTAGCGGCTCTGGTTTTAAGTACAACCGTTACGTCTTTCGAGTCTTTTTTTCTCAACCTGATGTGTTTTTCCTAAATTGGAAAACAGCAATTAAACCATTTATGCAATAATTCAGGGTCTGGCCTCGTCACTCAGCTCTCTTAATGCTGCCTCAAGTCAATCAGTCAAAGTGGAACAATCAAAAGAAATCAAAGTTATCTAAACGTAAACATTTAAAGAATGCTGTGCAGTGTTTAGGAATGACTTTCACCTTTTCCCCCTATTTGGAAATTACGTTTGTTTAACGTTTCAGGGTGTTGAGGATGAAGAGCAGTGAGGGAGTGTCGTGTGTGTTTACGAGGCACTAAAAGATGCTTCAGATCTGCCACTATAGACTGTGCACTGGGTGTATAAGGAAACCCAGAACGTCATACCTGAAAAACACCTAATTTAAATAAAAGATAATGCAGACTAAAGAGAAGCTGGTCCACAAAATAGCTGAAAACATGCGCAATCTGTTCTTTGACATTCACTGGATTTTTCTAAGCTTTCAATAGTCTCTCGTCCAACTCTTCTCCAGCTGAGGAAACAAACGTGACCATCCAAAGACTCGGTCGTTTTACTACATTGCTTATGTTGAAAAATCAGGTTTCAAATATTTTAAGGCAACTTCATCATCAACATCACCTCGATTGTCTTTGGTCATGGATGAACCTCCACAGCTTTTGTCGCAGGTATTTCCAAACTAGGCTCTATGTTTTATTTACAGTGAAGGTAAAAAGTCTCGGGGAGGTGGGGGGTGGGGGTAATGCCATTGACCTCGCTCGCTGCTCCTGCTGAAGAAAAGGCTTTTTGCTGATTAAAGAGGAAATTCTTTGTGTGACTCTCAGATGTGTTACAGCCACAGCTTGGTTCTCCTTTTTTTTTGGAAGGGTGTGGATTCCCAGAACCAAACAGACATCATCCAGTAAAGGAAGCATCTTACTTCACTTAGAGGTCAGCTAACAGGCGGCCAGAACAGCAGAGGGCATCCAATGAGATTGTTTTGGTTCCCCCGAAATCACTGGACAGAATTTGTTGTTTACCGTGGCTTAGGGAAATCCAGATTAGAGGAGGACAGGGTCAGAAGGGGCATTTAGAAGTTCTGTTGTCGTCTCTTCTTGGCATCCATTGCATCCAGGATGGGCTGCCTTTTGGCAGTGTAGCGCTGCCTGAGCTCCTCAATCTCCCGCTCCATCATGGGATCCAAGGCAGTCAGGCGTAACTGCAGCTCCTCAAAGTCCAGGTTCTTCAACTGAGAGGCAACACAGACAAACAACAGACGGAAAAAATGAGTCACAACACTCAGAGCTGCTTCTGTTTTGCTGCTGTAAACATTTCCACAATGAATAACACTACAACAGAGTCACGGATGACACTCACAAAGTCAAAGTCTCCGTCCTGAGGCACCTTCCAGTTGTCAGGGAAGACGTTTTTGGACTGGATATGGTAGCCTTGCTGCTCCTGTGCCTGGTTGTGGTTGTAGCTCTCCTGCTGCTGGGCCGCCTTGTTGTCCTGCTTGTCGAAGTAATCCATGAAGGAAGGACGAATCGGCTGCTGGGGGGTGGCATGTCCTGTGGAGGAGGAAATGGGTTAAACTCGAAGGTAACAAAATAAACTTTCTGGACAGAATATTTTGGAGACAGTCTCATTCAGGCAGACATCATATCCGCTCACTTCTCATCGATCCCTGGTCTTCCTCCTCGTCTTCATCGTCACTGTTGATGACCATAGTGCCAAGGTCTGACTCAAGCATAGTGCTGCCGTGCTCAATCATTGTCTGCGCCCCGTCGCTCATAGTGCTGGTGGCGCGCATGGTTCCGGCGCCCTCTGAGCCCGACTTAACCATAGTGTGAGAATCCACCTCAGTCTCTTCCTCCTGGATGGAATAAAGAACAGAGTTAAGACATGCAGCATTACATCTGAGGTTTCTTCACCCCAGACCTTTCTGTGAATAAATCACCACACGCACCGAGTTGTCATCCTCCTCTTCCAGCTCTCTCTGCTGCTCCTGCTGCCTCTTGGCTTTCATCTCCATGGCTTCAGTTATCAGGTCTCTCAGGATCGTAACTGGCTTGGCCTGGCTGATGAATGGATGCTGGAGATTCACAAGACCAAAAAGATAAAAGTTATATGAACTATATTTTACATGCAAATGTATTTCCATACGAGTATATCCACCCAGCATCATGTGTTACACCCTCTGATGTTTCTATGTGCCTGAGGCGGCATTAAATTTTCCATATTTACAAATCTCCAGGGTATCTGGGGAAGACTATTTGCTCTCTATTTTATACGTTTGCTTTCATCTTGTATCAGTTATTTGAACAGGGAAGGACACTAAGAGCAACTTAGTGTCCTTCCCTGTTCAAATAACATAATAATAGTAGTAATCCATGTATGTGGTGGCGAGGTCATCTTCTTACCTGTAGCAGCTGTGTGGCCGTCGCTCTCTGCTCCGGGTTCTTCACTAAACACTTCTTGACAAAGTCTGTAAACTCGTCTGACCAGAGCTCCGGCTTCCTGAATGTTGGAGGAGGGTTGGTCGGGATCATAAAGATTGCCTGCAGAAACACGATAACAGGATTAGGGTGGATTAAAAAAGAGGATAAAAGTTTTTCACAACACATTTAAAACAAGAACAAATGTTTCCACTCACTCTCATTGGATGAATGTCTGCATAAGGAGGTTTACCCTCTGCCATCTCTATGGATGTGATGCCCAGGGACCAGATGTCAGCTACACAGTTGTAGCCGATCTCCTGAATTACCTCGGGTGCCATCCAGAATGGAGTACCGATCACAGTGTTTCTCTTTGCCATGGTGTCCTACAGAGTGGGAATATATATTACCCCCAGACTTTTAGAGCATGACAGGACCAAGCGAGAACTCCTCAGAAGCAAATTACAAACAGTATCATGCTGGCAAACATTACTTCATCTTATCACTACTGACATATGCTGCAATTTTACCGTCAGCTGTCCAGCAACTCCAAAGTCTGCCAGTTTGGCGTGTCCCTCTGTGTTAAGAAGGATGTTTCCTGCTTTGATGTCCCGATGGATCTTCCTCATGAAGTGAAGATACTCGAGTCCCTTCAGCGTCGACTTAAGGATGGTTGCAATTTCATCTTCTGTCAGCTGAGAGATTGAAGATTAAAAACCAAACATGAACAAACAGACCATTAACTGCTGCACTTGTCTGTAGTTTTTTTTTTTAATCATTAGTTCGCTGAGTTCAGTTAAAGACAAGGTCAACCTGGAGATCTTTTCACTTTTAAGTCGTAATAAATACTGCACTTTGAATTGAAACTTTATCAAAAAATATTTTCTTCCTGACACAAAAACTAGTGAATTAAAGCCACCATTGTAGTCGTTACTGACAACAGGTCAAAGGCACTTTTAAATAAAGTTTTAGCGCAGTTGCACACGTCGCTGCGGCTCAGCGTAGACACCCACCGTCTTGTTGCGCAGTCTGATGATGTCAGAGACAGAGCCAGCGCCGCAGTACTCCATCACAATCCACAGGTCTGTGTTCTTGAAGTAGCTGCCATAGTATTTCACCACATAGGGGCTGGGGAGGAAACGCAACATGGAGTGGTTATCAAAGGAGAAGATATAGAGCAGAAGTGAGAAAAAAAATCTCATGGATCCAGACACGAGAGAGCTACATGGGCTATGATGATGATGTCATACTTCCTCCTTTATTATCTCTGTAAAATGTCTTTTGAGGCTTTTCCTGGCTCAGAATGGACCTTTGAGAGAAGGCTGGCTAAGTGCAACTGGTCTGCATACAGTTAACACTAACAGGCTCTTATCTAATTAAACAGAACAACTGTGCAATTCCCTGTTATTTAGGGCAGATGATAAGCAAAAATGTATTCTGAGTCTGCAAATAAACAATGATTTTCTCTCAAACCACTTTACTGGATGCCACATTTTTTATATTGAGGAAAAACCTTGCTTTCAAGGGCAAAAATGGGCGTATGGTATGAGACATACTGCTGTCCCACCTGTCACACTGCTGCATGATGGAGATCTCTTTGATGATTTCCTGCAGATCTGACTCCACAGGCACCTGCTTGATTGCCACCACCTGGCCGGACTCCTTATGAATGGCTTTAAACACGCTGCCATAGGAACTAAAAACACACACAAAGCTTAAAGTCACATGTATGGCTGCAGTACTTTATTACAACTGACAGCGCTTAAAAAACGATTTATTATGCAATGGTCAGCTGTAAAAATGGAAGTTAAGACTTCTTACCCTTCACCGAGTTTCTCGAGAACATCAAACACTTCCTCTGGCTGTTTCGTCAAACTATCTTCACTCAGCTTTTTCAGCTTACTGTAAAAAGGGAATAAGACAGCAATATAAAAGTGAAAGCAATGATAAGTGGAAAAGGCAAATCTAAACATTACAAAACAGGAGACACGGCATCGTTTCAGCATCTGTAAATAAATGAACGGCTGTGGGTGATTTTTAGTCTGGACATAAATGTCAAACACACTGAGACTGCAACCTGTTATTATTTCTGTTTGCTGTCATTTAAAGATATTTTTAGGCTTGTGTATCGGTGCTTTCAAACACCAGAATATGAGGTAATACTTCTTCACAGATAAAAAAAAAAAAAAAATCAGCACCGCAGCCAAACAGGAATAAGTCATTATTAGTTAAGTTCAAAGTGATCGACAAAAAAAGTTATTGTGAAAGTGAAAACACAACCCAGCATGCACTGTTCACTATTTTCTGACTTGATCAAAAATATTATCACGTGCAATACGAGACTAAAGGAGGTTGTTTCCCCCTGAGCAACGCAAGCTTCAATAAGGTTCCTCAGTCTGGCTCTAGTGAATAAATCAAACACAATGAATCAATGATTCAGTCATTTAAAAATGATCCTACATGAGCTCTGACTAAGACAACAAACAGATTGTGTGTGTTTTTCCTTTAAAAGGGTATTTCTATACTACCCCTTAGAAAAGTTTGCACTATATGAAGCTGGAAAGGCCCTCACATCCTGCTGTTCCTGTTAATTTCCACTAAGCAGAACAGAAACGTTCAAGTATGGTGTCCTCAAAGTCTTTCAGAGAAGCTTTTTACTGAAGGTGAGAGGAGCTGAAAACATTGCCGTTTTTTCTTGAATCCAAAATAAAAAAAACTTATTCAGTCTGAATTTCACATAGTGTTTTATAACTATTTCAATACCTATTATTATATTTATTATAATAATTATTAATATTATCATCATCATCACTTATTTTGCTCAAATATTTATTTTTGTAGACTCATTCTTTAATTTCATTGTACATTTATGAATGTTATAGTAAACTTTTAAGCACTATTTACTTTATATTTGTATTGTCTTTATATTACGCACACTTAATTTTATTTTTGTCAATGATTTCCAAAGCAGTTCTAATTTCTTTTGATTTTGTTATCATTCATTTAAAAAATTTTACTATTCTATTATAATCATGTTATTTAAGATAAAATGTTTTTATTGCTAGTTAGTATCTCTGATTATGTTAACTACACACACATAGCTTAAATAGGAAATCTTTCCTACCAAACTCTGTCAACCTAAATGTTTAATAATATTACTTTATTATTATTATTATTATTGTTATTATTCATCCTTTATAGTGTTGTAACAAAAGGGTTGCTCATGGAATGGAATAAATAAATATTTCTCATCTGCACATCTGAACATGTGTGATCTCATAATTTAAAAATAGTGCAGCAATCATACAAAGACTTCAGATCTGTCGCCTTGTGGTTAAAAAGCTATTCAGTAAAATTAACTTGCATTGTCTTTTTTTGAGCCTGTGAACTCATGAACCACCACAGAACAGAAACCAACTAAGTAATCAGTAACGTGTAATACTGGTTTGTCTTCAGGAATCGTGCCAAAAAATACCGTGTTCGACATTTAAACAGTTCTAAATGATGGCCTGTGATCTATCAAGCATATATCTCTTATAAAGGATTTCAAGTCACTCTGAGCAAGCAGTAGAAGCTGCAATCAGTATTTGGCAAAGTGGCTTTTATATATCTTTTATTTATTTGGATAAAATTTTTTACTGACATTCAAAATGTATTTTTTTTTTAATAGAGATCACGCAAAGAGGCAAGCCAAAACATGGAGGACCTTTAACTTTTACAAGGACATTTTACGTGTCCAAGAAAGTCAATAACAATAACGCAGACTCATAAAGAGAGATCACGTCTTTACTATATATATATATATATGTCTAACCCCTTCATAAAGCCTAATAACTAAAGCCTGTTTACAAATACAGGCAACAATATTAGACATAAAAAGACACAGTAATTCAATTTTTGCAGGACACTCGGGAAGCTAGAGACTGATTCAGTGCGATCATTCATGCGATTGAATGATATTTCAAGTGCAAATCTAACCACTGAACAAAACACTCTTACAGAGACTTGGGAACATAAAACGACCACATCATTAGCCAAATCTATTAGACACTCAATTGAGGGCTCAGGAAAGAGCGCCTCTGTGTGAGGAACGGTCTGTACATTCGTGAACAGAACTGAAAGTTTGAGAGAAGACTGGCAACGATAAGTTAGCTTAGCATCAGCTAGCTCGGCGACATCCACCGAGCGTTAGCTGTTCGGCTAGCTCGTTAATAATAGCATTTTTAGCGTAGTCAAATTAACACAAACCTTTTGGGCGCAGACGTCTCCATGATGTACGACTTCAAAACTAAAAAGAAAACACACTAATAGGGACTCGTGGCACTTTTGGGACCAGCAGTCAGGACGAGAACATTGTCGACTGAATCGTTGTTGTCAAAAACTAAAGCAGCGCCAGCTGAGGGATCGTCAGATGACGGTGTTACGGCCTCAACGCAGCGCCCCCTGCTGGAGCGGAGTACAAACAAAACGGCTTAAAAGACTCTCCTTAGAAACATTGAATAATTTGTATCAATTAAACAACTGAAACTTGTGAATAAAATGTTACTGATAATAGAGCTGTTCACAAAAATACAATTTCTTTCTCTGGTCTCTTTCAAAGACATCGTCCGACCAATCACAAGCGACTTTGCTGTGAGGTGCACGACTGTTCTACGCATGTGCAGGCAGGAGCCTTGTGGAGTATGAAAAGAGAGGTAAACAGCTAACAGCTAACGTGTTTAAACGGTGAGAAACCTTGTTATTATCTTTCCATCCTGTGTACTCCGTATCTGTTAGGTTTATGCAGCGTTTTTAGATACTTTAAAGATATTTGTTGTTTGCTCTAAATACCGGTTGGGTTGTTTTAGTCTGTTTCGGGCAGTACCATGCTGTTTCTGGTAGCATGTTGTTAACAGTTATCTCTCTGTCTCTATTTTTTTGTTAAGAATCAGAAATGGATACGCAGAAAGATCTACAGCCGCCCAAGCAGCAGCCTATGATCTACATATGTGGAGGTATGTTACAACGTTTACTTTAGTAATACCACCGCTGGTAATGCAAACAGTACGATTTTACCTGCTCTAATGCAAACCTTTCATCACTGCCATCACGGCTGCTTCTCCTCTGGATGTTTTTCTTACATTACACCGCATAGACCTTACATATTGTTCATAATGTGTTCCTTCATAGTAACAATTCTCTCATAATAAGTTGACAAATAATAAATTACAGCTCAATTTAGACTTGTGTCAAGCCAGCCTCCAATTCGAGACTTGCAGTCAAGCCAGCCTCCAGTTGATTTTACGTTCCCTGTGTATTCAAAGTATTACGGGAATGGATGTGGAAACCGGATTTCAAAATAAAAGCCAACTTCGAGTGAATTAACAGATATGTTAAGAACATAATAACATATAATTTAGGCTTTTTTTTTTTTTTTTAGAAACTCTAATGTTACATCTACATGACACAGCCTTGTACCCTAATTGTGCCCTGTCAAGGCCATCTTATTTTGGATTTCAAAGTAAAAGCCCTGTGAATCTTCATTTTTGAACTACTCTTTCAATGAATTCATAATGCTCTTAAAAGCAAAAGTCGTATTTCCAAATACTATTTGAACTTTGTATCAACACTTTCCAACCGCAGTCTTTTTCACAGTAATACCATATCAAATAAATTCTTTCTGATTTTGCTTTTCATAGTAATGGCCCTTTGAAATTGCCGATATTTGACTTAATCTCCTAACGATTCAAAATGCTCTAAAATGAAAAATTCTTGTTTCCACAGGGTAATTCCACTTTAGATCAACAGTATACAACCCCGCAGTGATACCATATCAATATCAAGTCATTCTGATTTTGTTTTCAAAAATAAAAGCCTTTTCAAATTGTCCATAATTGACCTACCTTTCAGTGATTTCAAAATGCTCTAAAATGGAAAATTCCTGTTTCCACAGGGTAATTCCACTTTAGATCAACAGTATACAACCTCACGATGTTACCATATCAATATCAAGACATTCTGATTTTGCTTTTCATAGTAATGGCCCTTTGAAATTGCCGATATTTGACTTAATCTTCTAACGATTCAAAATGCTCTAAAATGAAAAATTCTTGTTTCCACAGGGTAATTCCACCTTAGATCAACAGTATACAACCCCGCAGTGATACCATATCAATATCAAGTCATTCTGATTTTGTTTTCAAAAATAAAAGCCCTTTCAAATTGTCCACAATTGACCTAACTTTCAGTGATTTCAAAATGCTCTAAAATGAAAAATTCTTGTTTCCACAGGATAATTCCACTCTGTATTTACAGTATACAGCCCCACAGTGATACCATATCAATATCAAGTCATTCTGATTTTGCTTTCAAAAATAAAAGCCCTTTCAAATTGTCCACAATTGACCTAACTTTCAGTGATTTCAAAATGCTCTAAAAGTGAAAATTGCTGTTTCCACAGGATAATTTCACTTTAGGTCAACAGTATACAACCTCACGATGTTACCATATCAATTTCAAGTAATTCTGATTATGCCTTCCAAAATAATGGCCTGTTGAAAATGCCCATAATTTACCTAACTTTCAGTGATTTCGGAATGCTCTAAAAAGGAAATTTTCTGTTTCCACAGAATAATTTCACTTTAAATCAACAGTATACAACCCCACAGAGATACGATGTTAAGATCAAGTCACTCTGATTTTGCCTTCCAAAATAAAAGTATTTTCAAATTGCCCGTAGACGACCTACTCGTTTAACGATTTCAAAATGCTCTTAAATTGAAAGATGCTGTTTCCACAGGATAATTCCACTTTAGATCAACAGTATCCAACCCGACAGTAAAACCATGTAAATTTTATGTTGGTCTGATTTCGCCTTTCAAATTAATGGCCCGTCGAATTTGTCCATATGTGATATACTCTTTCAATTATTTCAGAATGTTTTAAAAATGAAAATTGCTGTTTCAACACATATTGGGTTTTCATTTTGAAAAGCAAAATCAGACTCAATTGATTATGACAGAATTGAATCATAAAGATGATGTAAAAGGAAGCTGAAATTGCCACTAGGTTGTAATTGATAGTACGTTTATATTTTAAGTCTGTGGAAAGATGTCATTCTAAATAAAGAAATTACAAAACAGCTTGCAGACCAACCATGACATCTTTCCACAGACTTAAAATATAAACGTACTATCAATTACAACCTAGTGGCAATTTCAGCTTCCTTTTACATCATCTTTATGATTCAATTCTGTCATAATCAATTGAGTCTGATTTTGCTTTTCAAAATGAAAACCCAATATGTGTTGAAACAGCAATTTTCATTTTTAAAACATTCTGAAATAATTGAAAGAGTATATCACATATGGACAAATTCGACGGGCCATTAATTTGAAAGGCGAAATCAGACCAACATAAAATTTACATGGTTTTACTGTCGGGTTGGATACTGTTGATCTAAAGTGGAATTATCCTGTGGAAACAGCATCTTTCAATTTAAGAGCATTTTGAAATCGTTAAACGAGTAGGTCGTCTACGGGCAATTTGAAAATACTTTTATTTTGGAAGGCAAAATCAGAGTGACTTGAAATTGAAGTAGTACCATGGTGTGGATGTACACTTTTGATCTAACATGGATTCATCCTGTGGAAAGAGCAAGTTTCATTTTTAGAGCGTTCTGAATTCTTTAAAAGAGTAGGTCGTATATCGGCAATTTGAAAAGTCTTTTATTTTGGAAGGCAACATCAGACTGATTTGATATTGATATGGTATCACTGTGGGTTGGATACTATTGATCTAAAGTGGAATTATGCTGTGGAAACAGCAATTTTCCATCTTAGAGCATTTTGAATTCGCTCCAAGAGTAAGTCATATATGGGCAAATTGAAAAAGCTTTTATTTTGAAAAGCAAAATCAGACTGACTTGAAATTGACATGGTAACATCGTGAGGTTGTATACTGTTGATTTAAAGTGAAATTATTCTGTGGAAACAGAAAATTTCCTTTTTAGAGCATTCCGAAATCACTGAAAGTTAGGTAAATTATGGGCATTTTCAACAGGCCATTATTTTGGAAGGCATAATCAGAATTACTTGAAATTGATATGGTAACATCGTGAGGTTGTATACTGTTGACCTAAAGTGAAATTATCCTGTGGAAACAGGAATTTTCCATTTTAGAGCATTTTGAAATCACTGAAAGTTAGGTCAATTGTGGACAATTTGAAAGGGCTTTTATTTTTGAAAACAAAATCAGAATGACTTGATATTGATATGGTATCACTGTGGGGCTGTATACTGTTGATCTAAGGTGGAATTACCCTGTGGAAACAGGAATTTTCCATTTTAGAGCATTTTGAAATTGTTTCAGGATCAAGTCAGATATGGGCATTTTGAAAAGTCTTTTATTTTTGAAAGCAAAATCAGAATGACTTGATATTGATGTGGTAACATCGTCAGGTTGTATACTGTTGACCTAAAGTGAAATTATCCTGTGGAAACAGCAATTTTCACTTTTAGAGCATTTTGAAATCTTTAAAAGAGTAGGTCGTATCTTGGCAATTTGAAAAGTCTTTTATTTTGGAAGGCATAATCAGAATGACTTGATATTGATATGGTAACATCGTGAGGTTGTATACTGTTGACCTAAAGTGAAATTATCCTGTGGAAACAGCAAAATTCTTTTTAAGAACATTTTGAAATCGTTAAAGTAGGTCGTATATATGCTCAATTTGAAAGGGCATTTATTTTGGAAGGCATAATCAGAATGACTTGATATTGATATGGTATCACTGTGGGGCTGTATACTGTTGATCTAAGGTGGAATTACCCTGTGGAAACAGGAATTTTCCATTTTAGAGCATTTTGAAATTGTTCCAGGATCAAGTCAGATATGGGCAGTTTGAAAATGCTTTTATTTTTGAAAGCAAAATCAGAATGACTTGAAATTGATATGGTAACATCGTGAGGTTGTATACTGTTGAACTAAAGTGAAATTATCCTGTGGAAACAGCAAAATTCTGTTTAAGAACATTTTGAAATCGTCAAAAAAGTAGGCCGTATATGTTCAATTTGAAAGGGCATTTATTTTGGAAGGCAAAATCAGAATGACTTGATATTGATATGGTATCACTGTGAGGTTGTATACTATTGATCTAAAGTGGAATTACCCTGTGGAAACAAGAATTTTTCATTTTAGAGCATTTTGAAATCACTGAAAGTTAGGTCAATTGTGGACAATTTGAAAGGGCTTTTATTTTTGAAAGTAAAATCAGAATGACTTGATATTGATATGGTATCACTGTGAGGTTGTATACTGTTGATCTAAGGTGGAATTACCCTGTGGAAACAAGAATTTTTCATTTTAGAGCATTTTGAATCGTTAGAAGATTAAGTCAAATATCGGCAATTTCAAAGGGCCATTACTATGAAAAGCAAAATCAGAAT